CCTACAAATCAAACCCCGAAATAGAACAAACTCTCGAGCGGCTGAAGAATAAATTCTCAAGCTCCGACTCGGGAGAATCATCAAGTGCTAGTTCTCAATCTAGCGAGACTGAAGAGCCAATTACTATGGCTCATGAAACGAGAACATTGAGGGAGCTCACGGCTCCGAATCTAGATCAACAACCTCTATGTATCACTTTTCCAACTCTTGATACGGGGGTCACATTGGAGCTAAAATCTGGGCTCATTCATCTCCTTCCATCATTCCATGGTTTACGAGGGGAGGATCCGAACAAACACTTGTCGGAGTTCCATATTGTGTGCACAAGCATGTGCCCCAACGGTGTGTCCGAGGAGCAAATCAAACTGAGGGCCTTTCCATTCTCTCTGAAGGATACCGCAAAGGACTGGCTATTCTATCTTCCTTCGGGAAGTATCACTACATGGCCACAAATGAAGAAGGCTTTTCTTGACAGGTACTACCCCGCTTCTATTTCATCATCACTCAAGAAGCAAATAAGCAACATTGAACAAAAAGATGATGAATCTCTATACGAATATTGGGAGAAATTCAAGAAGCTATGTGCAAGTTGCCCCTATCAATGATACACCGAACAAGACCTCATTCTCTACTTTTATGATGGTCTTGTGGATCAAGATCGCCGCATGGTGAATGCAGCGTGTGGAGGAGGCATTGTCAACAAAACTCCTTCACAAGCGAGAGATCTCACCTCGGAGTTGGCCGAGAACTCTAGACACTATAACAGGCGGTCCTCAATCCGTAGAGTTATGGCGGCAGAATCCAACAACTCGTTGGAAAGTCAAGTGAACGGCTTGACAAGTCAAGTTACCGGCTTGACTTCTTTGGTTAAGGATTTCCTTTTAAAGTCCAAGACCCAAGAAGTCAAGGTCTGCGGAATCTGTACACAACAAGGGCATCCCACGGACTCATGCCCAACTCTTCAAGAAGACACCACAGAACAAGTCAACGCCTTGGGTTTCCAAGGAAATCAACAAAGGAGGTACGACTTATTTTCAAACTCTTACAATCCCGGATTGAGGGATCACCCAAACTTGAGGTATGGAAACCCTCAACAAGCCAACCCACCTTCTCAATCGAGTATGTCTACGGAAGACATGATTCGAACTCTTGCTACGAGCATGGGCACCTTGCAACAAAACGTGGTGCAATTTCAACAAGAAATAAGTCAAGCATTCAAAATTTGGAAACTCAAGTTAGCCAAATTTCGAATGCTGTGAATCGACTTGAAGCAAGAGATTCGGGTAGGCTCCCTTCCCAAACTGAGCAAAACCCAAGGCAACAAGTCAATGCCATCATGCTAAGGAGTAGCCCGGAATTACAAGCAAGGGAAGTTGAAGAAGAAAAAGATGAGGTTGACCACAAAGAGGAAGGGCCAACAAAAACAAAATTCCCTCCGCTGTCATCATATGAACCACTCCCTCCATTCCCTGAGGCGCTGAAGGACACAAGGAAGCTTGAGAATGATCGGGACCTCTACGAGACCTTCGCCTATTGTGAGGTAAATATCCCACTCTTCAAAATAATCAAAAGTGTTCCCCGTTATGCAGAGTTTTTAAAAGAACTATGCACAATGAAAAGAAAAAATAAATTGAAAGGGAAACAAGAGGTCAAGGTTAGTGAATGTGTCTCAGCAATTTTTCAGAGGAAACTCCCGGAAAAATGCAACGATCCAGGCATGTTCACTATCCCATGCAAAATAGGGGACACTTTATTTCCTAGGGCTTTATTGGATTTAGGGGCTTCAATAAATGTCATCCCATTTTCATTATACGAGTCCCTAAAACTTGGCCCTATGCATGAAACCGGGGTAGTAATCCAATTGGCGGATAGGTCTAGCACATACCCAAAGGGCGTCGTAGAGGACGTACTAGTAAAAGTTGAAAATTTGGTTTTCCCTGTTGATTTCTATATACTTGAAATGGAAGCCGATAACCAAGCTACACCCATCCTTTTGGGAAGACCTTTCTTAAAAACAGCCCAAACAAAAATAGACGTGTCTAATGGTTCATTAACTTTAGAGTTTGATGATTCTCCCGAGTCGGAGCTTGAGAATTTATTCTTCAGCCGCTCGAGAGTTTGTTCTATTTCGGGGTTTGATTTGTAGGTGATTTCGTTCAGTGAACGATATTTAACCATATACTATAAAGCTCAGAAGAAATAGAAATCTTTATACTTGAAGTAAAATATTTCCCTGTGGATAAGTTATAGATATAACAATAACGAGAGTTATTCCTTTCCCTGTGGATACGAACTCTACTTCACCTATACTACGTATAAGTGCTAGTATTGAATTTATTTTGACGCACCGTGACAAAGTGCACGTCAGTAGTTAAGTGGTTATCCAAAGTGGTTATGCCTAACCTATATTTTTCCTAAACTATTTCTTTAACATTCTTTATGATATTAACCTTGCATTTACACTACAGGGGTCGATGTTACCAGAAAGTGCAGTTCATGTACTCACATGTACTTGCTGAGGACTCCATTGCATTCAAAGAATGATTAATAGATGCTATTGTTGCTAGGAAACCTTTTGTCATATTTAGCCGGGTAGATGTATAGTTCATCAAAGTGTATGAATATTGATTTATTCCCAGATTTCTTGCTGTATTTCTGATTTTTTTCAACTTATATGCTTGCTATATATACTTTTGTATATGTGTGTGCAGTGTATTTGAGTAGGAAAAATGGATGAGAATGTACAGAATATCAAAAGGCAGGTTGAGATATACCCAATGTATATAAATTTGAAGAAGACGGTTGTGGAGGGAAGGTGTATCAGACGCAGTGGCTTCTCTAATGTGTGGCCTTATTGGTATCCCTCCTTCAAATGGTGTAATTCCACAATCTCCAATGCATATTAAAAGTCTGGCTACTCTTAAACACCAAGTACTTATAATACTTGATCCATTTCAATCTTCATTAATTAGAAAAAAAATTACTATTATAATCGAGTGAATATTATTTTCTGCAACTCACCTAAATATGTACATTCATCTTCTTCATTGAAGCTACTTCGGAACTGACTTGTTGCAGCAACACGCGAAAGTATGAAAAGCAACTCAAGCCTGACACAATTATACGGAAACATGCAGGAAGCTTATAAATGGATGCAAACTTCTCTAATCTATCAGCATTCATCACTAACAGTATGCTATATAATTGTTTATTGTTCCATATCATCCAAATACTACCCAGTTCTGTAGAAGTATATGTCCCAACCAAGCGATGCTAATATTTAAATGGAAGATGAACATGTGATCAACTTGTGAACTTACCTAAATGTAAGGGCCTGTTTGGGGAGTGTTATTTGGCTAAAAAAAGGTTTGTTGAAATATATTGAATAGTCATCTTCCAACTATTCATGATCAGGAACACTTATCATCATTGTTAATATAAATAAGAATTCATAATTATGATTTCTAGATGGTAATTGTATGGCTCACAATTAGCCCCTGATCTAGACATGATTACATTTTCTCTTATAAGTAAGAGCATTCTCCTTCATTGTAAACACACCATTATCACACTTCTAATAACATCTTTCTCACTAAGTATTCAGACTATACTTTCTCTCCCTGATCTTCTGCTTATTTCCTTCCATTTTATAACACGTTATCAGCACGAATCTGCTCCAAATCCGTGAAATCATCATCTCTCAGCAGGTATATTATTTCATGAATTTATCAACTTATCTGGAAAAGAAAACTCAGAGGTTGAGAAGTATAAACATATTTATGTATATATTCAAAACTATAAAGTATGCTCTGTGGTTGCCAATGATTTGGATCCTCCACATCAAAAAATTATAGTTATAATTTATATTTCAGCTGAAAATTGAAGAAGGCATAAGAAAGATTATTTTTCAAAGTATGTTCTACGAAGTTAATCATTATTAGTTTGTTTTTCAAGAAAATAAACTAATACGAGTAATATACTTGTAAATACTCCGTATTATTTAAGAATTAATGAATAAATAAAACATACCTTCTGAAATACGGAGTTCGGAGTATGAACTGTGAAGTATCTGGTCTTTCTCCAACTCCTTGCTCTTTACTATCTCATGTCTCGGAATTTCTAAACTATAAAAATAATAATAATAAAAAAAAGAGAATGGCACACGTACTACTTGCCGATTTTGCAAAAGATTGAACTATTGATATGAACCATAGATATGTATAGTACTTCTATATACGATAGTATATACTAGCTCCGTATGCTTATTATATCTATATATGGGTCTCTCCATGTGGCTGGAGACCGCTCATGTATGAGCTTAATACGGAGTAGCATAGACCTATACTCTTCCCAACGTAAGAAGAAGAAGATATGTAATGAGAGGGTATGATTTAAAAATAAAATGATATGACCGAGAGTAAGACATTTTGCCTAAAGGATATATATTCAAACCTCATCAACTAAATCATTGATGTATGTAATAAAGAGATAAGTCAGACTGATCACGGGCCAACTACTTCACATGGCGGTTGTCCTGCCTTTATTAAGATTGGATCTACTCTAATATGTTATGGTGCACAATAAAATTGGTCCCATGTACTACACGTACTCGTATAATATAATAAAATAAAATAAAATATGGGAAATCGAATGGATTCAATGCATCTGTTTTTCTTTTATTTTACTTCATTGATTATTAAACAATCATTTGATAATAATAAAACCAAATTGACGGACCAGAAGCAATTGATGATTTCTTTGATTATAATTATACCATAGTATATATTACCTTATATATTTTCTTGATTAAATCAATACTTTTTGTAGTATTATGGCACATATTAGCAAAAGAGAGTTTGACGTCCTTGATTTATCTGGCCAAAAGTATTTGGAATGGAAAGTCGACGCTTTGGCACATTTGAAAGCAAATGCCCTTGAAAATACAATTGCTGAAAATAATTCAGCCACTCCCCAAAATAAGGCAAAAGTTATCATCTTTGTTCGCCATCATCTTCATGAAAGTTTGAAATCTGAGTATTTATTGGTAGATGACCCTAAAGAATTATGGGATAATCTCCAAGAAAGGTATGGCCATCAACAAAAGGTCCTTTTACCAAAAGCTCAATATGACTGGATCAATTTACGATTCCAGGATTACAAATCTGTAAGTGACTACAATTCTGCTTTGTTCCAAATAACATCAAAACTAAAGTTATGCGGACAAAAAGTCACTGATGCTGAAATGTTGGAGAAAACTTTGTCCACTATGCATGTTTCAAATGTGCTTTTACAAGAGCAATATAGACAAAAGCATTTTCAAAAGTATTCTGATTTGATATCAGTATTACTATTTGCTGAGACGAATACCGACATTTTAATGACAAACCACAATATGAGACCCACGGGTTGTAGCCCGCTTAGTTTTGGTCCACCAAATCATGGTTCAAAACATGAATCAAATGCAACCCATAGTGGTACTCGTGGACATTTCAAACGTGGTCGTGGTATTGGTCGTTATAATGGACCTAGCCGGGGAAACAAACAGAGTAGTAGCTCATTTTACAAAGGCAAGGGTAAGCAAAACCGCCATCAAACAAAGAGCCCGACGAAATCTTCGGAAAAGGCCAAAGTCACTTGCTTCAAGTGTGGCACGTCGGGACATTGGGCAAATAAGTGTCGTACACCTAGACACTTGATTGATTTATATAAATCATCTCTAAAAGGAAAGAATGTGGAAACTAATTACGTCAACGAAAATGATCCACCAATGCCCACATTCAATGTGTCTGATTTCTATATGGACGATAATGAGATGAACACCGACATCATTATGGGTGAAAAATAATAAATAAGTAAATAAAAGGGAATTTGAAATAATTCTGTTATGTAATATATTCTACAATAAAAGTTTGTTTGTATTGTAATTTTTATTTGGTGTGCTTATTTCGATTGTAAATGTTATGTACATTTTAATGAATAAAGCCTTGTTTATATTACGGTATTGAACTAATATTTGTTCATTTTTATCTTTTCGAAGATATGGAGTTAACTAAAATTTCTCCAAGTGGCTGTGAACAATGTCTAATAGACAGTGCCACAACGCACACCATTTTGAGACATAGAGATTATTTTTCTCATATGACATTAGTTGATGCTAATGTCAATACAATCTCAGGTGTTGCTAAACTCATTGAAGGTTCTGGAATAGCCTGTGTGATTCTCCCAAAAGGGACAAAATTAATAATTAAAGACGCTTTATACTCCAGTAAATCACGGAGAAATCTTTTGAGCTTTAAAGATTTGCGTCTAAATGGTTTTCATATTGAAACCATGTCTGAAAATCAGAAGGAATATTTATGTCTAACGACAAATAGATCTGGCAATAAATACATTTCTGAAAAAATGCCAGCATATTCCTCGGGACTGTATTATACATATATCAGTCCAATTGAGATAAATGTGGTATCTAAAATTTATGACCACAATTCCTTTATCTTGTGGCATGGCCGTTTAGGTCATCCAGGTAGCACTATGATGCACAAAATTATTGAAAATTCACGTGGACATTCATTAACTAATGTCAAGATTCCACAATCAAGTGATTTTCTGTGCACTGCCTGTTCTCTTGGCAAATTAATTATCAAGCCATCTTTATACAAAATTGGAGTTGAATCTCCTGCATTTTTAGAAAGAATTCAAGGAGATATTTGTGGGCCAATTACCCCTCCGTGTGGACCGTTTCGATATTTTATGGTGCTCATTGATGCATCAACACGTTGGTCACATGTCAGTCTTTTATCGACTAGAAATTTTGCATTTGCAAATCTCCTTGCTCAAATTATTCGTTTGAGATCACAATTTCCGGATTATTCGATAAAGAAAATCCAACTTGATAATGCAGGAGAATTTACATCCCAATCTTTTAATGACTATTGCATGTCAATTGGGATTGATGTGGAACATCCAGTTCCACATGTACATACACAAAATGGTCTTGCCGAATCCTTAATTAAGCGATTACAATTAATTGCTAGACCATTATTGATGAAATCCAGATTACCATCATCTGCATGGGGATATGCTATAATGCATGCTGCAAATTTAATTCGGCTTAGGCCAACGGCATATCATAAATTTTCCCCATTACAATTAATATCTGGTAAAGAACCAAATATATCACACCTAAAAATATTTGGTTGTTCTGTGTATGTACCAATTGCTCCACCTTATCGTACTAAAATGGGTCCTCAAAGAAGGCTGGGAATTTATGTTGGTTTTAAATCACCCTCAATTATTAATTATCTAGAACCTATGACCGGTGACTTATTCACCGCGCGGTTCGATGACTGTCATTTTGATGAGACAGTATTCCCAGCCTTAGGGGGATATTAAAGAAATGGACCCACGTACGAAAGATATTACTTGGAATGCAACAAATTTATCTTTTCTTGATTCTCGCACAAATGCTTGTGAACAAGAAATTCAAAAGATTATTCATTTACAAAATGTTGCAAACCAATTGCCTGATGCTTTCACAGACTCAAAGAAAGTGACAAAGTCACATGTTCCAGCTATGAATGCTCCTTCTCGAATAGAAATTCCTGCGGATATTAGCGAAAGAACACTTGCTAATGAATCTATGATACGTAAAAAACGTGGTAGACCACTTGGTTCAAGAGATTTGAAACCAAGAAAATTTAAACAGCAAGTTGTAGTTTGTGATGCCAAAGAAGTTCAACCTTCTCAAGAAGAAAATGAACATTTTGAAAATATCGGCCTTGAAGATAACATCAATAATAATGATACCTCAAAAGAGGATCCAATTACCTTCGAAGAGGTAAATATTCCAGATAAAGATAGAAACGTCGATAATTTTGAAATTTCAATTAATTATGTTTCTAATGGAATACAATGGAATAGAAATGATATTGATGTTAATGATATATTTTCATATGCCATCGCCACAGATATAATGAATGAACACGATGACAATGAGCCTAAATCTATTGACGAATGTCGTCGTAGAAATGATTGGCCAAAATGGAATGAAGCAATTCAGGTACAATTAAAATCGTTAGAAAAGCGTAATGTTTTTGGACCAATTGTCCATACGCCAAAAGGCGTAAAACCTGTCGGTTTTAAATGGGTTTTTGCGCGTAAACGCAACGAGAAAAATGAAATCGTTAGATACAAAGCCCGACTTGTTGCCCAAGGTTTTTCTCAAATGCCAGGAATCGATTATGATGAGACGTATTCTCCAGTAGTTGATGCTACAACTTTAAGATTTTTAATTGGCATGTCTATTTTTGAAAGGCTGCAAATGCGCCTAATGGATGTGGTGACCGCATATTTATACGGTTCACTCGATACAGACATATATATGAGAATTCCTGGAGGCTTTAAAATACCTGATGCTTATAGCTCGAAATCTCGAGATTTATTTTCCATAAAATTGAAAAAGTCATTATATGGATTAAAACAATCTGGACGCATGTGGTATAACCGTCTCAGTGAATATTTGATTAAAGAAGGGTATAAAAATGATCCTATTAGTCCATGTGTTTTCATTCAGCGATCCGAATCAGGATTCGCCATAATTGCAGTATATGTTGATGATTTGAATATAATCGGAACTCCTAATGAAATTGAAAATACTGCAAAATATCTCATGAAAGAATTTGAAATGAAAGACCTTGGGAGAACAAAATTTTGTCTCGGCATTCAAATTGAACATTTGAGAAATGGTATTTTCATCCACCAATCAAATTATACCGAGAAACTTTTGAAGCGATTTTACATGGATAAAGCACATCCGCTCAATTCTCCAATGGTGGTTCGATCTCTCAATGTGCATGATGATCCTTTCCGACCTTGTGAAGATGATGAAGAAATCCTTGGTCCCGAAATACCATATTTGAGTGCTATTGGAGCATTAATGTATTTGGCTAATAATACTCGACCAGATATTGCTTTTTCTGTAAATTTATTAGCCAGGTACAGTTCTTCCCCAACAAGAAGGCATTGGAATGGTGTCAAACATATATTCCGATATCTCAATGGTACAATCGATCTTGGATTGTATTTCAAGAATGGTGCAAATGCCACTTTAATTGGCTACGCGGATGCAGGATACTTGTCTGATCCACAAAAGGCAAAATCACAAACAGGATATTTATTCACCTATGGTGATACCGCTATATCATGGAGATCAATGAAGCAAACATTAACTGCAACATCATCAAATCATGCAGAATTAATTGCTCTTTATGAAGCAGGTCGTGAGTGTGTCTGGTTGAGATCAATGATCCAGCACATACAAAATGAATGCGGTATAAAATCTTTTACTTCTAATCCTACTGTGATTTATGAAGATAATACAGCATGTATAGCTCAGATCAAAGGAGGTTAGATCAAAGGGGACAGAACAAAGCATATAGCACCAAAACTTTTCTCCACACATGATCTTGAGAATGACGGAACGGTTGATGTCAAACAAATCAAGTCATGCGACAACCCTGCTGATTTGTTCACAAAGTCATTGGCACCGAAGAAATTTGAAGAACTGGTCCATAAAATTGGAATGTATCGTCTTCGAGATATATGTTAAATTGAGGGGGAGTAATATAATGCACTGCACTCTTTTTCCCTTCGTCAGGTTTTTATCCCACTGGGTTTTTCTTGACAAAGGTTTTTAACGAGACAGTACATTATAATACTATGAAACTAATACCCCAGAATAATTAGAAGATGACCATTCAAGGGGGAGTGTTGAAATATATTGAATAGTCATCTTCCAACTATTCATGATCAGGAACACTTATCATCATTGTTAATATAAATAAGAATTCATAATTATGATTTCTAGATGGTAATTGTATGGCTCACAATTAGCCCCTAATCTAGACATGATTACATTTTCTCCTATAAATAAGAGCATTTTCCTTCATTGTAAACACACCATTATCACACTTCTAATAACATCTTTCTCACTAAGTATTCAGACTATACTTTCTCTCCCTGATCTTCTGCTTATTTCCTTCCATTTTATAACAAGGTTGATTTTGTTTTATTTTTAAAGGGAATATTATGACTTATATAGGAGTAAGATGTTTCGGCATTCCATAGTATAGTAACTGTATTCTCAAAAGGTGTTCTATGAGTAATTGTACATGTGAGGTAACTAAAGAGTCATTGCTTATTTAGGAGATGACAATGACACTAATTAAATAACAGAAGTACCACATATATATACCTTGACTTTACCGTAACTAAGGGAAATAATGTCTAAAAATAATTAACTTCCTTTTTTAGAAGTCATATACTCCTAAAAGGGGTTAATGTAGAACTACTTCTATTTAAGGAAAGCATAACATATTGTATTTCACTCAAATAAGTGAATCCAAAACTACTTATTCTGCTTAATTTATTTATTTTACTTGTCAGTTTAGCAGTGGAAAAAGCCATTTATGCATTAGAAGATTTTTATATATATAACGGTTAAGATATCTTCTATCTTTTTCATAGGGGCTAAAAGAGTTAAAGGAATCAACCATTCAAATGGCATCAATCTCAGAGCACATTGATGCCCCCGTTGATGAGACACATTTCGACATTGACAAGGAAATTGATGAATTGTGCCTGTACAGGTGAACAGCAGTGTTTGACTAACTTGCTTCAGGCGACCATGGTAAGTGGCTGTGTTGCCGCAATGCCTGTCTTGTGAGGTTATTTTGCTTATATGGCCATCAAAAGCCTACCAGGGAATCAATTCTAGGAGAGAATATTACTTCTCTTCACCGCGCCTTGCAGAAGATGCAAGTATGCTCTTCATTAAATTATTAAATTAAGTTTATTGGTAGGCAGATGATAGAAGTATGTTCTTCATGGCCATACCTAAAGTTTATAGGCAGGCAGAAGATACACTCATACAAGTATGTTCTTCATTAAGTATTAACTTAAGTTTTTAGGTAGGGAGAAAAAATAAGTATGTTCTTAACTGTTCTTAGATAGGCAAAAGATACATTCTCTTCATTAACTATTAATTTAAATTTATAGGTAGGCAGAAGATACAAGTACCTTCTTTATTAACTAATAACTATCCAAATGTTAGATCCAACGCTTTAGGGCATGAAATTCAAATGCACTTATTTCTAAATACTCTAGAAATTGTCTTAGTGTAGAGTAATTCCTTTTAGAGCAAAGCCAAAAAGTAGGCATTGTAGAAACAGGAAATAGTAGTAGTCACATTTTAAAAAGAAATTAATAAATTGGGAATATTATTTGTGAGATTATGATTTAAAGTACCTAATTTATAATTTTGCATGTCTTTTGTTTGAATTTTATTTGTATTATCAGTTTATTTGTTTATTATGGCAGAAACTCAGCATATATTTTTGCCCTGAACCGCCAGAAGAAAAATGATTTGTGAGATTGGTTTAAATTTGACCCAACACTTTGATCTCTTTCAACAAAAGCTCCAGTTCTCAAAGGATTCTAAGATAGCGGAGGAGGATGAGGAGGGAGATCACGTTTCATATGATTATGGATTCTTCCAATTTATTTGTGTTTCAGGCGCTATGTACTTCCGCAATACTAATAATTGGCTGGAATGCTATATTTAAAAACTGTATTCTAAGATTAATTTGGTTATTGTATTGGATTTTTATAATGTATTTGTGATACTTTTTAAGTGAATATTATATGAGTGATTCATGAAATATAAATAAAGGCTTCTTTTTCTTATATATAGGTCTTATTTTGGTTTAAAATATGTTTACATGTCTTCTAGAAACTTTAATGAAAACATGTTGTGATGAAACATGTGGTACGTATGTATTCGTACCGTATATAAAATTGGTGTAGCTATTGCTGCGGTCATTATCTACCCGCAGCAAAAAGATTTTTTAAAAAAAATTATGATTGAGTATTTGCTGCGGTTGTGAACCGCAGCAAATAAGTAAACTCACAAATTGCTGCCCCTTCAATTGATGCGGTTGTGAACCGCAGCAAATAAGTGAAAATAACCGCAGCAAATAGCATTTATTCTAGTAGTGCTTGCCGGAATGAGGGTTGTACAACATGTATCCCTTGGACTGAGTAGAGTATCCAATGAAGATACACTTCTCGCCCTTATCATCTAGCTTAGCTCTCAGGTTGATAAGAGTATAAGCTATGCATCCAAAGACTCTGAGGTGTCCAACTGAGGGCTTCTTCCTTCTCCACACTTCAAATGGAGTCTGATTCTTCACAGCTCTTGTTGGTGAAATATTGAGCACATATATTGTAGTTGCTACAGCCTCACTCCAGAATTTAGTTGGCATGCCCTTTGATTTCATCATGCTTCTAGCCTTTCAACCACAGTTCTATTCTTCCTCTCTGCAACTCCATTTTGCTCAGGAGTGTATGGTGCTGTGAGTTCTCTTCTAATGCCTTGTTCTTCACAGAACTGAGTGAATTCCTTGGATAGGAACTCACCTCCCCTGTCAGTTCTTAAAGCCTTGACTTCTAGCCCACTTTGTTTCTCTACAAGTGCTTTGAACTTCTTAAAGTTCATAAAGGATTCTGATTTTTCCTTCTGAAAGAACACCCAAGACATCCTGCTAAAGTCATCTGTAATCATTAAGAAGTATTTGCTTCCTCCTAATGACTCAGTCTGCATAAGCCCACACAAATCAGCGTGCACCAGCTCTAGACATTCACTTGCCCTCCATGTATTTCCTTTGGCAAATGAGCCCCTAGTCTGCTTACCATATATGGAGCCCTCACAAAGCTGTGCAACTCACCAATCTTTGGTAAGACATGCACCATCTCCTTTGAGCTGAGAATCTGTAGGCTTTGAATATTCAAATGCCCAAGTCTGAGATGCCATAACTTGGCATTCTCCTCTCCCTTTACAACTAGTGCTCCAATGGAAAGACTTTGTTCTTTCCCATTGTGATTCTCATCAGTACTTCACCATTTTGTTTATCCTTGATTATACACATATCATTCTCAAAGATAACATAATATCCACCATACACAAACTGACCAACACCTAGCAAATTATGGGCAAGTTGAGCCA